CACACAAGGAACAGAAGCGGCTCATTACTTATATAGATAAAATAGGCCTAGTTATTTTTAAAAACCAAACTTGTTTATGACAGTTATCAGGAAAAGACCCTAAATCTATTATTTTTTCCTTAATAAAGCAGCAGACAGATCAGGCATTACAAATGAGTGAACAGTGGCAGATTGGACTTGCTGGTTGTATTGGAAAAATAGACAATCATTTTCCCAATTCTAAACTTTTACAATTTCTTAAACAGCATAACTGGATTTTGCCTAGAATTATGCACTCTGAACCCATAACTGCAGCAGACACGTACTATACTGATGGTAGCGGTAATGGAAAAGCTGAATACGTAGGAAAGATTTCAAAAGTATGGCGCATTCCTTTTCTTTCTGCACAATGAGCAGAACTTCAGGCAGTAACCAACTTTTGTTAGATGTTCTAGAATCTATCGTCTTTGTTACAGACTCAATAAGTATGGTTCACAGTCAGTTATATAAAAACAGCTACTTTATCAAATGCTACTGAACTTGATCAGTTGTTCTTTCAATTACAGACTAATATCCATAATAGAGATTTTCCTATTTTTGCAACTCATATCCGCTCTCATTCACATCTTCCTGGTGACACGGTTAAATATAATGATGAAGTTGACTGACTTGTTGCTGTTTCCTCACCAGATTATTTAGCTACTGAATTCTACACTTTAACTCATGTAAATACCAAAGGCTTATATAAAAAATTTCCTCAACTTTCCATTCAACAAGCTCTTGAAATCGTTTTATCTTGTCCTACTTGTGGAATGCTTAATAAGCTTACTTTTCAGCCTGCAACAAATCCTAGAGGTTTGCAAAGTAATGAGTTGTGGCAGATGGATGTAACATATATTCCTGCTTTTGGAAAACTTGGATTTGTATATGTTCTTATTGACACATATTCTGGCTTTATATGGGCCTCTGCACAATCAGGAGAAAAGTTTGCACATGTTAAAAATCATTTGTTAGAATGTTTTGCTATCATAAGAAAGCCCAAAGCAATTAAAACTGACAATGGACTTGCTCACACATCCCATTCCTTCCAGCAATTCTGTTCCTTGTGGAATATTAAGCATTATACCAGTATTCCATATTATCCTCAAGGACAAGGTATGGTTGAAAGGGCACATGCTACTCTTAAATCTAAAAGCTAAACAAAAAGGGGGAATTAGGGGTAGAAGCTCACCATGTCAAATATTACATAAAGCTTTATTCTCTTTAAATTTTTTGGATATTAGTAAAGATTCATCTACTACAGCAGCAGAAAATTTTAGACCACTATTATTAAAGGACCACCAGAACCAATAGGGCAACCTGTTTTTTTGGAAAGATATTCATACTAGAAAGTGGGAAAGAATTATTGTTCAGATTTCACAGGGAGGATTTGCTTGTGTCATTACAGATTCAGGAGATAAAGTGTGGTTACCTGCTAGAAGAATTAAACCTCTACATGAGCCACAAACAGTCAGACTCAATCTGAATCCTCCAGTGGAAAAAATGAGAGTAATGCCACTACAGCACCATCCTTGGATAATAATCAGGAATATTCAGGAGGCACAAACCCCAATTTAGAAACAACTGAAGAAAGTAATCCATAATGTCGAGAGCCAGCTGCATTTTAGTGGAAAATATTTATAGCTAGTAATATATTTTCAGCCATGTTGGCTGTCATAGGCACTATGATAGGCATTAACTTTACAGAATCAGACATATATGCCTGTATTAATTTATGGTATTGAATTTAGATAGCTTCCTGGTTAGCGTGATGCATGGGGACCATTTATAATGACAGACAGTTAGATTATAAAATTTTAAAATTGTAGTAGGATTACTACAATATGGTTTGGTAAAAGGTTTGCTTGAGTGCACTCTGATTTTCTGTAAATGTTTGTATATTTTGTGTACTTGTTACATGTTTGTCTGCCATTTTGTAAACAGCTGTTCTCCTTTACTTTTGGGTTCAACAAAATTTTTTCATGATACAATTGGGGTGCAAATCTAAAAGCATGCTTTCTCCTAAATTACCAGCTGGTCTAAATGAAGATATTTAAATAAAGATATTTAACTATAATCTCTAAGCAGAAAAATTGTTGGGTTTCTTCATTAATAAGGAGCCCCAGTGACCTCCACAGTCTCTTGGGAGATACCCCAATAATTTGGTCATGGTTAAAAGTGTTCCAGAAAAAAATAAAAAATAAGGTGTTCTCAAGAAAGATGTACAAAACTAAAGAAACAAAAGTTTTCATATGTGTATGTCAAGTTATTATTGTTAATTTCATAGTATATTGAAATGTATTCTTGATTCTGGATGTATAGTTCTTCAAAAGGTAAAGCAAGGATTGCTTATGATAAGACTTTCATTCAAATTCACACCTTTGCCTTTGAAAAACTTAGGTATATTTCATTAAATGATAGCAGATTAGAGAAAAGCTTATGTATTAGATAGAGATGATTGGTTGAGAGGGTTAGGTTATCAAATGAAATTTTAAGTGTGTTACAAAATGTCATGATTGTCATGCGGCAATGTTATGTATGGATTTGGTTTCTAATTTCAATGTACCAATATGTAATTATTATATGTTAACATTCTAGAGGGATTTAAATGATAGGATATTAATGGTCCTTAAGAGAACAACAGTTTCATTTTATGTTCTAAGATGTCTAATATTCAGATAGATAGTAGTGCTAAGCTTTATTGCCTCTGTTATTTCAGATCAGTAGTAAGCTTTATGTCACACAAGGTTTTGATTTTTAAATTTCTGAGTGGATATATGTAATTGTTGTTTGTCAATATTCTATTGAGATTTAAATAGTGGAATATCTATGGTTGTTAAGAAATTATGGTTCCACTTGTATGTTCCAAGGTACTTGCTATTTAGATTAGATTATGATGCTAATCTTGTTGCCTTCATTACGATGTTATATCATTAATCTCCTCTGCTGGATGTTTAACCACTGAGAGCTACAGACTCAATATCAGAAAGATAGTTTGGGCTAAAAACACAGCCAGTATTTTGGCTATGCCCTCTGAGGTCAGTACAGACTCAGGACATAAGAGAACCTCTACCATGACATTGTATAACTCGATTGAGTCCCTGATTTTCTGATCAAGGAGATTATGGGACAGCAGAGAAAAGTAATTCTCTGATGTATAGTGTGCCTAAGGAGAGTCACTAAAAGAGAAAAAATCTCTCAGGCTTTCACAGAAAGCACCTTGGTCAAGCAATGGCCATGATTCATCCAGATGGCTGGCACTGACAGAGGATCAAGAGATGCTGCATTTGGTTCCAAGATTCCTGAGGAGACCTAACTGACCCTGATAGATAGTAAAAGGTTAAAACTCTTTATTTATACAAGTCTCACTCTAACTTGGTCTTAATATATGGCAGAAAAGTGTGATCTCTAGATATAAATTGAAGACTAAACATTGTTATGGACTCGGAACTATGTTCTTATTTTTACAAACATCCATAGTCATTTCTTGTGATATTATCATTGTACTTTGCCTCATCCCATTAGTCTGGCGAGGTTCATCCAGGAAATGCTGAGAAACAGAAGACAACTGGTAACTTTGTTGATGCATCAAAGGGGAGACATGTGGGAAAAGGACTGTGATTGCTAATTAAAACAAAAAGGGGGACATGTGGGGAAAAAAACTGTGATTGCTAATGCATTGATTACTGATGGTTGGCTTATGATTCCCCAGCCATACTGAGTGTACATGGTACAGGGTGTGGAAGGCTCACCCGATGATAGTTACCATCAGCTGAGAGGCAGAAATGGAAAAGGATAATGAATTTCTCCTGTGGGTCTTAGTTATGTTCTTGGTTCTAATAAAAGGTGATTGGGATGGGTGATTGAGGCTGCAGTCCAAGAGGCTGTAAACCCCCTGATGCGAGACTTTTGCCTCTCCTATTTTTCTTATCTCTTTTACCTTTTCATCCATGGGACACCTCATTCTTGAGACATGTCACCACAGTTAATACCCACAAATACAGGCACATAAAGATGATGCTTAAATCACCAGAATCCAACTATTTAGAGATACAGTTGTCCATCAAGCAACATGGTTGCAGAGGATTCAATCCCTACCTTGCTCCGAGGCAGAAACACTAGGGCAGAGGGTTGGATGGAGTAAAACAATTCAACTGGTATAGCCCAGGAAGCAGAGCACAGAAGGAGAGCCCTAAAGACAAGGGATCAGTGCTCAGATAGACACCCCGTCCTCAGTGCAGGTCGTTCTACTGGGATCCACAACAGCCTACCTAAAGAAGAAGAGCAACCTATGTCAGTTCCTGGATGGAATTCCTAGGCCCCACAGCAATTTGCTAATTTAGACCAATAAATGTCAAATGCATAAATTTTGTCTAAAAATATTGAGAAGAAAGGTGGACTCCATCACATTGAATATTCATAATTAAACAAGTGATATTTTAGGTTTACTTGGAAGGAGGCTATGATGATATAAGAGTTACCAGATGGGTTTAGTACATGGTTGCTAAGTTTTGTTACTGCTTAGTACATCATGCCACCATGGCTTTCCTGAAATTGGGTCACCAGAATTCTGCCTCCTTCACCAGATGGTCAGCTCTGTTGGGAACATGCTTGCTCTTAGCACAAGAGAGGGGCCTAATGCTTATCTGCTGCAGAAACTATCCTAGTGGACTTAATAGCCTGGCATTGATGATTCTGTCACTGGAGACCCATGTTTCTGAGCTTGTACTGGCCAATACCACATCCTACACTCCCCACATTACAGTGTTGAGTTCATTCTGTGGGCTAGAGTAAGCAGGTGGCTTGCTCTAAATCATCAGCTGTGGTCTCTGTACATTCTACACAACCACATAGAAGATGTCATCAGGGGAAGGTGTTGGGAGGATGGTGTTTTGTTAGAAAGGCTCCCATGATGAAGCATCACAAAATCAGTGGGAAACATAAGATCACTGAGCCGACTCCTCCCGCTTCCTGTGTTGCAGGTTAAATACATCAAGCACAAAGATTCAGAAGCTCGGACCTGGGAAGTCTTCTTGGGAAGATGCAGCTGCTCCTGCTCCTGTTGGCCTTCTTTCTGCCCCCAAGGACAAGGACAGGTAAGTGACCATCTCCATCCCCCAGAAGCCCAAAGACATTCCACAGAGGACATGAGTCTCCTGTCCCTCTACACGCCTGTGATCCATCTGTCTACAGTATTACTATGAACCTGATCTTCAGTTCCATGAGAGAACCCCAAGGAGGACATTGGATAAGCTACCAGAGACTGTTCTCCAGAAGAGCCAGTGTGTACTGTCCCCTCTCTAGGCCCCAGTTTGTTATCTGAAAAGTGGGTGGTTCCTCAAAGTGCATGCAAATGGTGAGAAGGAACAAGGAGAAAATATCAAATTCTCCTGAAGAGGGCAGAATAGGCCTATCTTCCCTGTCTAGGAATTGAAAGATGTTGCTCTCATTAGCAGTTTAGCAGAGACGCCCAGAGCTCAGTGACCCCAGAATCCATGGAATCACTGTCCTCAGAACACTGTTTTTGCCTTTCCTGAGTCCTAGTCTCTTTCTCCAACTCTGCTTTCCCACCCAAGCCTCTACTGGCTCCCCTGCTTTCCAGTAAAAGCCACAGAGGCAGGCTCTATCTTCTGTGCTTTCCAGGATCCCATCAACGCTGCTCTATCGACATTCATCCATAGACTACCTGGAGCTGTTCCCGCACATAGCTAATGCACAGTTCTGAGGCACCCACTACATGTCAGGCCCAGGAAAGAGGATCAGACAACATTGAGAGTACACACAAAGCCCTGTCTATAGGAAGCATCACCATCCTAGACATCACAGGATTCAGAAGGGCTTCAGCTACTTAATCTAAATGAAAAATCAGCAGAGGAATTATGAAAAGCATCTGGGATTTTAAGGTCCCTAGATGGATATGCTCATCTCCAACTACATGAACAAAGATTTCTAGACCAAGACCTGATTTCCCTCCCTATGCAAAAGAAGTTCAGGCTCCTCCTCTAGCTTCCTCCCAACTCCAGGCCACCACAGGCTGCCAAATCCCCAGCAGTTCTGCAGGCTCCTCGTAGATACTCATTCAGTGAATCAGGCTGCGCACAGTGTTTTTTTTTTTTCAGGGAAGATCATCGGGGGACATGAAGCCAAACCCCACTCCCGCCCTTACATGGCCTACCTTCAGATCAGGGAGGAAAAGACTGTAACAAGTTGTGGTGGCTTCCTGATACATGAGAAATTTGTGCTGACAGCTGCTCACTGTGCAGAGAGGTGAGGAATAAAAAACAGCGCACAGCCTCAGGAAATACTTCTCAGAGACCCTTCCTCCCAAGGAGCTCCCATAACTCCTGGAGACACACAAGCAGGAGAGTATTTGAGGATGAGAAAGGGCCAAGCTTGTCTCATGGTGAGACAAGCAAGCTGGCACCAAGGGAACTGCTGACATAAGAGAGACCAGGACAATCAAGCTTGATATATTTAAACCCAGGAACTATGCTTTGCCAAAACAATGCAAAGTAAAGTGATTTCATGTGTTTTCCTAGAGGTAACTGACCCCTGAGAACTTCTGGTGCCCAAGGTCCAAGATTTCAGCCTCAGTTACTAAGAAGCAGAGAGTGCAGTCACTCAGCCAGGTGGCCCTCCTGTCATCTGCAGCTCCACCCTGTACCAGATGTACCTGCTGCTTACTCTCCTAGGATGTGTCCTCTGTGTCTCCACATCCCTCAACCCACTCTCCTGTCTGTGCAGACCACAACATCAAGAAATAATTGTCTTACTGGGGGCCCACAACATCAAGAAGCCAGAGAAGACTTGGCAGATTATACGTGTGAAAAGAGTCATCCCACACCCAGCTTACAATGCTGAATATCTCACCAATGATATCATGCTGCTGCAGGTGAGGCACAGCTCCTGATGCTCTTGCTCTCCTCAGGCAGGGTTGCCCCACCCACTGGGACCCTGTGCTTTCCCTTTTAGCCACCAAGTCCATCACAGAGTCCAGGCCCAGAAGGCATAGGCTGATCTGGACTCTCTTACTTCTTTCCCTTCAGCTGGAGAAAAAGGCCAACCTGACTAAAGCGGTGCAGCTTCTCAGGCTGCCTAAGGACAAGACCCAGGTGAAGCCAGGTGCCACCTGCCAGGTGGCTGGATGGGGACTTTTGGCCCCAAATGGGAGCTCTCCTAGCACACTGCAGGAGGTGGAGATGACAGTGCAGAAGGATGAGGTCTGTGAGACACACTTTCAAGAGAATTATGACAGTGCTACGGAAATGTGTGTGGGGGACCCAAGGATTCAAAAAAGTACCTTTCAGGTAAGACTGGACATCTGTCACTCTTGGACTTGGGGGAAAAGGTGTTTGGGACAGATCTTGGACTGGGATTCCTAGCCATCAGGGTCTCCTTCACCTAGTAGGCTGTGACAGTTCTCCCTGAAAAGAGAAAAAGAGACCTGCATGACCTGGGAAGTAACTAGGGCTTCTACCGCTTTACCAAGGGGCCTCTGGAGAAGAGTGCCCTTCTGAAAGCCTGAGTTTATGACACGGTGTCTGAGCTCACATCGCAGGTATTAGAAAACTACTCCCTGGGTGTGCAGTAATTATAATCAGTTGGCTCCTCAGAGCCCATTGACCTTATTAGTCAATCAGCTTGTCCTCCCTGCTCTGTGTCTGGCCCACTCATCTGCCTCCCTGTCCTTAAACAGCAGCCTGAAACCAGTGGTCCCACACAGCTCCACAGAGATAAGGTCTCAGGTCCTGGAGGAAAGACAAAGGCTGCCTCAGTGAGGAACAGCAATAACAATGTCCATAGTCAGACCATGGCAGCTCAGGAACCCAGGGCCTGTCCTCCCTCTCATCCCTCACAAGCAGACTGTGCCAGTAATGCTTCAAGAGGGATTTAGGATATCAGAGGGGACATGACCAGGAGGAGCACTGCCTCACAGCCTCACTCTCTATTTGCAGGGTGACTCTGGAGGCCCCCTCGTGTGTAATAATGTGGCCCAGGGCATTGTCTCCTATGGACGATCAAAAGGGAAAACTCCACGTGTCTACACCAAAGTCTCACCTTTTCTAGACTGGATAAAGAAAACCATGAAACATGACAAACTGCAGGGAGCAAACTAAGCCCCTCTCTGAGCAACCATCTTTCCTGGAGCTGAGTCCCGAACTGCACTAGAGCAGATGCCACCAACTAAATAAATGTCTCATCTCAGTAAGAAGGCTGCTTTCTTGTTTGTTCACTTCATGGAGACCAACTGTGGTCTAAGCAGGCCAGTGACACAGTTTTGCTAATTTCTGCCACCTCCCTTCCACTCCATTCAGTACCTTTCCAAACCCCCACTCAAAGCTGTTAACCAGCTCCTTCTGACCCGCTTGAGTTTCTCCACAGCCTCACCATTGTGAGGGCTGAAGCTAAGCACCTTCAGAGAAAATGTGCAGAGCTCTTATCCTGGGGCTCAGGGTGAACATGTGGCTTCCTTGTGTGTCACCTGGCAGAGGGGAAGAGGGGAATTTCATGGGTCCTGGACACCTGTCAGGCACCACTGAGGTCACCACTCAGCCCCATCATGCTGGGTAGTGGAAGGGTCTTCCCGAACAGGACATTTCTCTCCCTCAGGTTTAGGGACGTTGGGGGGGGTTGGGGGGTGTGTACTCAGTCATTCTTTATTCTCACTTGAAATTTTTTTCCTTCCCCTTTCTCCACAAAGACCAAGGCTAAACTTGGCTACAGCCACCGGGCTGCACATTTTCTTTATCACTCCTCAGAGTTGTCACAGTCTACCAACTCCTATACTCTCTAGGCAACAATGGTTAGATGTTATTCATTCCTCCCAATCTCCCCACCTAGGACACCCAGAACTACATGTGTTTCCATGCAAGGCCCATGGAGGTCAAGGCTGGTGGGATCAGAACCCGTGGCCCCACCTCTCACTCCTCAGTGTCCTCCTATATGCTCAAGGGGCCTTGGTCACTCAGCAGTCTGAGCCCATTTCATCCTCTCCCTGTTGATCACTGGTGGCCTCAAAGCTAAGACTCCCTGACACACATGGGCTATATCAGGCTTTTTACTTCAAAAGGGCTTCAGTCTGCAGAGGACAGGAAAGCACACCAGTTTCCATCAATCAGCAAACAAATACTCCCGGAGTGCTTTCTAACTGCCGGGTCTTTGGGATCTGCAGAGAACGTGATAACAAAGCCCAGTGAAACTGGCAGTGAAAAAAAACTTTCCAAATTGTCTCCCTCTCTGTTCTCCATATTGGTCTATGAGGCCCAGATCTCCATGGGAAATCGATGGAAATAAAATACTTTATTTTCATTCCTGATTAGAGTTTCCATCAATATGATCACACAACACTCCAGAAGTACATGAGATTTACAAAGGACACCATGCTGCTGCATGTGAAGCACACCTTCCTGCTGCTCTTGCTCTCCTCAGGCAGGGTCGTCCCTTTCCATGGGACCCTGCTCTTTCCCTCCCTGCCATCTTGGCCATCACCATGTCCAGTCCCAGAAGGCATAGGGTCTGTGCCATAGGCTGCTCTGGACTCTCTTGCTTATTCCCCATCAGCTGAAGAGAAAGGTCAAGCTGACTAAGGCGGTGCAGCCCCTCAGACTGCATGAGGACATGACCCAGGGGAACCCAGGTGACACATGCCTTGTGGCAGACTGGAGGAGAATGACCCTATTGGGCCCTTCAGCAACTAAACTGCAGGAGGTGCAGCTGATAGTGCAAGATGAACTAAAATGCAAATCAGCCCTCCTTGTATATAGTGAAGTCACTGAGATTTGTGTGGGAGACCCAAGGAGAAAAAGTCAGTTTCAAGGTTAGGTGTCCACTGTCTATAAAGACAAAATCCAGGGAACGAGGAACTTGGTGGGGGGAATGATAGTGGCAATATCCCCACAAACTTGAGTCCAGAGTTTGGGAACCTGAGTTCCCCAGCACTGCAGGCTTTATCCACACCCTGGATGGATAGGAGCCAAAGGTTGGGAAATATCAGTTAACCAAATGTGGTATTATCACTACAGTATCTCTAGGCATGACTCAGAAAGTTTGGTGTAAGTTAAAGCTGGCAAGTAAACTTGTTGCCAAGCTAGAGTATCCCTGTCAGAAGGAGGCATCCAGGCCCAACCTGCGCTGATCTCTGCTTACAGCCCCCTGACAGAGGTCACCCACTGTGGGGAGGTTCAAAGAGCACCACCAGGAGGAAACGAACTGAGTACGTTCCTTCTCTGCCCACAGGGGGATTCTGGGGGCCCCCTTGTGTGTAATAATGCAATCCAAAGCATTTTCTCCTATGAAAAATATAATGGAAGACCCCCTAGTAGTCTTCATGAAGGTCTCCCACTTCCTGCCCTGGATAAAGAGCACCATGGGGCACTTATACCAACAGGCATAAGATCAGCTTCCTGATCATCTTTTTTAAGCAAAGGTAAGAATCTCATTAGTACGGGCCATGAGGATTGTACTGTGATAATAAATGGATCTCAACAGTGACTGTGGCTGAAGTCTTATAATCATTGAACCATTTCAGTATGAAGCTGCCTGCTCCAGGAAGCCCTCTTCTGGCCACTCTGGTTTTTGCTTCCTCTTTCTTCCCAGCCCTCCCTCTTTCCTTACTCCATTCCATACAATTCCTCATTGATTTTCAAGCACATTTTTTTAAATGCTGAGCTCGGCAGTGTGGACTTGCTCCCCTGTGCAGTGGGGACTCTGCAGGATTAGGAGCTGTACTCAAGCACACCTTGCCACATCCTCTATGCTCAACCCTCCAGATATATGTCTCAGGGTTTTAAGAATTTCTCACCATCTCCAAGCCAACAACCTTCATCAGGTCCCCAACAATTTGCAGAGAATAGAGCAGTTAAAAGGGGGTAACTCCAGGGACCCAGGAGAACAAGGGCAATTTCTTGGTTCAATTTCTTGGTTCCAGGGCCTCTCTGTCCAGTGGTGCAGTTTCTCCCCATTTCAGGGCTGTCTGCTGCTTAGGATGCTGAGTCAGCCCTCAGACTCCCGGGTCCCATTTGCTGCCCTGCCCTAGGCCAGCACTAAGTTCATTCCACCTCCTCCCTTGCTGCCTGGTCCTTCCACACCAGCCCCTGTCTCCCCCAAAGTGCCTCTGAAAACCAACATTGTGAAAATGGCCATACTCCCAAAATTGTTGTACAGATTCAATGCAATTCTCATTAAACTACCATTAGCATACCTCACAGATCTAGAGAAAACATTCCTTAAATTCATCTGGAGCCAGAAGAGACCCAGAATAGCAAAAACAATCCTGGGCAACAAGGACAAGTATGGTGGAATCACAATCCCTGACCTGAAATTATACTATAAAGCTACTGTGATAAAAATCCACCTGGTACTGGCTAAAAAACAGACCTGAGGATTAATAGAACAGGCTGGAAGAAACAGACACAACCACAAACACTCTCAGCCACCTAATCTTTGATAAAGTGGCCAAAGAAACTCACTGGAAGAACAATAGCCTCTCTCTTTAAATGGTGCTGAAAAATTGGCTTGCCACCTGCCAAAGACTGAAAATAAACCCAAGTCTATCACCATGCACCATACTCAAGTCAAATGGATCACAGATCTCAATATTAAAACAGAAACACAATCTATTGGAAGAAAAAGTAGGTAAAAACCTTGAAGACATAGGTATAGGCAGAGAGTTCATGAACAAAAACCAAACTGCACGTGAAATACTTTAAAGAACCAACAACTGGGATCTCATCCTACTGAAGAGTTTCTGCACATCTAAAGAAATCACCAGCAGAATAAAAAGAAAATCCACACATTTGGAAAAAATTTTAGCTGACTGTCCCTCGGCAAAGGGCTTCTATCTAGAACATATAAAGAATTTTAAAATGTCAGCCTCCCCAAATTCAAAGATCCAATCCAAAAATAGACAGCTGAGATGAATACACACTTCTCAGATAAAGAAATACAAATGGCAAATAAATACAGGAGAAAATGTTCAACATCATTAGTCATTTGAGAAATGCAAATTAAAACAACATTGAGATTCCATCTCACCACAGTAAGAATGGCTAGCATTGAGAAATCAACCAATAACAAATGCTGGTGAGGCTGTGGAGAAATAGAAATTCTTCTCCACTGGTGGTGAGAATGCAGACTGGTGAAACCACTGTGGAGATCAGTTTGGAGATTCCTCAGCAAAGTAGGTATAGAGGTCCCATTCAACCCAGCTATTCCCTTTCTGAGTATTTTCCCAGAAGATCTGAAAACATCATATCACAGCGATAGATGTGCACCCATGTTCATAGTAGCACAATTTGTAATTGCTAAATTGTGGAAGCAACCCAAATGTCCATCCACTGAGCACTGGATAAAAAATGTTTGGTACTTTTATATAATGGAATATTACTCAGCTATAAAGAAAGATAAACTCTAGGCTTTTATAGGTAAATGGTCACAACTAGAGACGATACTCATAAGTGAAATAAATCAGACCTGCATGTGTAAACACCGTATTGTCTCACTACTGTAAGATCTGAAAGAGTGAATAAAAACTAAGAGCTATGAAAGACATTGTGAAACATAAGGAAAATGCTCAAAAGTAAAGGGCAACTGGGGTGTGGGAAAACAGAAGGGAAAGAAGGGGAAATTGTGTATGTATATATATACAGGACAGCTAACATAGTTGAACTACTGTCTTCTATTGGTTTGCTGAAAGAAACAGTTAATGAATACTTGACTGATCAATATTACATGTCTGTATTTGTTTTCCTGAGAAACCATTTTGAAGTTATCAATATGTAATACAACAAGCATTGTTAATTTCCTACCATTTTGTTTGTAACTCTGTTTTGTTTGTAGTGTTCTTTTACTATTTTGTAAATGGTTGTCTGTTTATTAATGTTTTTCTTCTTTTATTTTTAAAAATAAATAAGAAAATAAAGTTTTTTGACCATTATTATATTGCCTTTATTTTCTTTCCATAGTGATTTATCAGGTCTCCATATATTTTGCTATGACAAACACAAACACTGAAACAACACCCAGGATTTGGAGGCAGATTTATTTTACGTTGATGGGCACTGACTGGACTCACTCCCAAAATATCAAGCCCCAATCTCTGGTGGTCTATGGCTTTTATATGATGCACAAGCAGGAGGTATAAAGGCAATACAGAACAGCCTGGCAGTTCTTCTGATTAGGTAGCAGTGTGAGGTTATCAGTTACGACTAGATTAATGAACATCAATTACAAGGCTAGATTAATGGTCATGAAGCTTGGTTCAATCAGGCATTCTGTATGTTCAGTTATGCTCTCACATTTACAGAGATCAAGAAATTAATTACAGAGCCATGAAGCAGTTACAGAGCTAGGCAGTTTCAAAGAACAAAGGCTTTTAAATGAACAGTTTTCCTGGTACAGTTTGCCCTTACAAATTGAGTACAAGTCCTTTGTTGGTTGCTTATGTACATCCCAAGTCTTTACTCACTCTGTGAATAACCTTGGTTTCTCTCAACTTGAGTATATCAAATTCACCAATTCTTTTCTTTATCATAAGTACATAGAATCTAACCTATCATGAAGATATTGTTGCATTACATTTTCAAATCCTTAATCACACTTCGATTTGTAACCTACCTAGAATGGATTTTGGGGCATACTATGAGATAAGGCCAAGTTTGTTTTTGTGTCAGAAATAGATAATATGTGCTCCTATAGAATATCAGAAAGACTCCTACTTTTTGAATATCATTTATTGGAGAGAGAGAAGAAAAATAGTCTTTATTATGATGGAAGGTGCAGTCTATCATAAATTAAGCATCAGTATATGTGTATGTCAGTGTGCACATGGGTGGGGTATATTATGGTCCAGTTATTTATGTCTCTACAATGTCACGGTAACACTATCTTCATTACTATAGCTTTATTTGCTAAAGCATTCTTTAATAGTGTCCTGGTTATTGGTCACTCATTTTTGTTACCTATATTTATAATTATTAATTTCTACAAAGAACTTCTCAGGCACAATTAATCTACAGGGCAATTTTGAGAAAATTGATATTTTTATAATACTTAGTCTTCAAAGTCATGAACATAGAATTATTCTATGTGTAGGTCCTCCTAATGTGTCTTCATTAAATTTCATGATTTTCTTTTTTAGTTCCCTTTTTTTAATTTATTAAGTTTATTGGTACAATTCAGATATACATAATGATCATATTCCTATAGGGAATTTGCACCTGTATATGATATGTCTTGATTCCTTTTTTCCAACCCCCTCTCCTCTTTTCAACCCCTTTTCCCCTCCTTATTTACAAAGCTTTGCTTTCACTTTATCCTTCTTTTATCATTTTTTCTTTTCCCTTCTATTGCACATAGTCTTTTAGATTTCTGTTTCATTATTTGATCACTTCCATGCCATTTAAATACTAACTTTTTGCAAATTTCATTTTCTAACACTGCTCCAGTATATGTGGAGATATATGTGTTAGCTAAGGTTCTCTAAAGGAATAGAATCAACGGAAAATGAACATATAATTATGCAAGAAGGCTTATTACATGAGTTTAGACAATCAGAGGCAGAAGAGTCCACAAAGGCCATCTGCAGGATGAGAGGCAAAAAATCTACCACTGTCATTTGCATGCTGGACAGCCAGAGAATCCAGTAAGAGTTGGAGGTCCAAAGCCTAGAAGGTCACAGCAGAGTCACTGGTTTGAGTCTAAAGGAGGATAAAGGAACTAGAGATCAACATCCAAGTCAATGGTGAAAGCTGGTGCTCTTCCAAAATGGGCACACTTCTTTCTTCTTTCCCTTTTTATTCCATCGTGGTTACACCTTTA